GAAAATTTGTTTCAAGCAATTTTTAAATAGGTTTTATTAAGTTTATAAAACCAATCATTTAAAAAGATGTATTTCATGGATTATATAAATAGGAAGCCTGGTGGTAATACAAAAAAGATGACTTTGTATTCTCTGAATACGAGAAACTTGGTTGACATTTTACCACAAGCCATACAATAGTATTCAAAGATAGGTGTTATGAAAGCCTTATAGATTTTAAGAAATGTTCTACCTGAACCATCAACTAACATTCAGAAAAAGTGACAGTTTCTTAAATGAGTCTGGAAACTTGGTGATTGTTTTTACAGGTTAAGTAAAGAAAAATTATAACTTGAGTTTTGATATACAATTTATCCATATTATTCTTTTCCAATATCAAGTTGCTTCAGGTACCTTAGAGGGCTTCTCTGAATTTCTCTCCCTGTGTTTTGTATTTCACCTAAAAAAAAAAAAAATTGTCACTGAAAAATTCAAATTGAGAGAAAAAGGAACCATGAAGTTCCATATAAATTCAAATTTTTAACAGTGGTACAATTATCCAGGTGTATTTGTCAAAACTATATGTAATCCGAGTATGATGGTGAATTCTTTACACCACTAATGAAGATATCCACAAATGTTAAAAACTTTTTTTTTTTTACCTTAGTGTTCAGTGTTTAACTTCAAAGTTTCCACTGGTTTTCACTGTCTGTTGTTTGTAAGTTATCTGCAGTTATGATTCATGGACTTTAAAAATCCAGACTTTAGTCAGAATGTATTTTTTTCACACACAACTGATTCTGCATTTAAAACTAATTAACTTCATATCAAACCAAAAATTTTACAAATATTAAATGGCTTTTAATCTCTTAACCCAGTGTCACTAACTAAGCCAGTTGAGTATTTTGGATACACATGTACAAATTCAATTTTACAATGAAAGATTAAAAAAAAAGACTAGATACATTTAAAAAATTTTAGTTATATTCAATTTAATTTACCTCATGTGATATGTGTATCAATTTGGCATAGTTACAAAAAAATTTCCTCATATTCACTCTTTTTGGTATACATGTAGATATGGATATTAATATTTCTTTCAACAAAAAATTTTAAATATCATTGTACTTTTTTTGTTCATCAAAAATATTTTGAAATACTTACTTAATATCTATATCTCCATTGTTCCATTATGAGTAGTTCAAAAGCATAAGTAAGCTCTTCAAGGTACCTAAGCAACTGATATGGTCTGCAATAATCTGTAACACTAAAAGTTGATATTATTACAAGTGCAAAGCAGAAATGTATCATTCAAAATTTTAATAACAAAAGTCAAAATTAATATTGAAACCTGAAATTTTTCTACTGTCTGGTAATTATTTTCAGCCTACTTTACAAAATTCACATCAGACAACTTAAAGCTTATTTCAAACACGTATAAACATAAGCTATGTAACAAAATGGTCTAAGACCATTTACCCTCAATATTTCAAACAACTTTGCAATATGAGAACAAAAACAATTCTTTAACTGATTTCAAGTAAAAAATGCATATGTGCATGGGTGTTAATTTCATATTTTCATGTTTAACTACTTTTAATATAACAAATTGACAACAAGGAACCATTTCGTCCTATCACACCCCTTTGATTAAAGTAAAAATTTAAACCCACCCTTTATTTTTCAGGAAGCCGTTGATTCACCTCTTAGGCTCCTGAAAAATGATGGCCTCCACAACTGTTACACTAACACATTCCACACATTAATGAAACTGTTAGCAAAATAACTGTCTTAATTGGAACCTGGTGCCTGTTTTTTCCAAATTTTAAGCATGTGTCTTCTCATACTATTATTTTCAAAATATAGCAGAAAGAAATCAGAGGACTTTAGCCTACAGATCTCCTGGATACTCCTGTAAACTTCAATAAGATCACTTGTACACAATATCCTTTCTTTAATAAGAAGCCCAAAACTGCACACAATATTCCAAATTAGTCCTTACTGATGACTTGTATAAAAGAAATAATTACCTCTTATGACTTGCAAATAACATCTATAAATAAATACTAAAATTATATTACCAGCAACAGAACACTGCCTTGAAGGTTTTAGCAACTTACGTACCATTATGCCAAGATCCTTTTCATCAGTTTACACTTTTGAAATGGTTCCCAGCTATATTAAATATGACCCAAATTATGAAACCCCCAAATGCACTACCTTGCATTTACTATAGAGCAAAGGCCATTCACCACCTATTGTCTACCTAACCAACTGATCCAAGGCATGCTGTAGTAACTTAACATCTTCAATACAATTAAGAAGTATGCAAGAGTTTAATGTTATCAGTGAACTTTACTATTTACTAATTATGCTCCTGTTAATATCATTAATGTAAATAAGAAATAAGCATTCATGATCTATGTTAGTTTTACTTCTGTTGTGGGAAAAAAGAAGATTTACATCATCATTTAAAGAAATATGAAATAACAAGAGATAGCAAACATACATTCACTAAATGGAAATGTGTTATCATTTGTTGAGGATGTTATCTGTTACCTGGATAACAGACCATATGTGTTTGGTGTACTTAAGTATTAAAATCATTTCTGGTAAGATACAACACAAAATATTGTCTAAGTCTTTACCATTCTATTATGTTTTGGTTTTATTTGACTCAACACTGGTTTCCATAATGTTACGATGCAGTTCAATATATCTTTGAATCTATAATTAATAAAGTTTACGTTAATTTCTATTACTTAAAGTAAAAAAAGTAAAGCTATCAAAAAGATATATTTCATCAATTCAAGACTGTTTCAACTTGTTTGAAATTGCATTTGATCAATGATTTAAAACATTGAAATCCATACTTAAATTCTGAATATAACAGGAAACAATATCAATAGGGGTTCAGGACAGACTAGTTAATTGAATTCAATAAGATGGTTGAGTAAAAGAACGTAAAAAGGTATTAATAGAATCCTGTAAAAATGGATCTTTGTTACTACTGGTGCTTCAAGGGTCAGTGATTGGGCTTTTTCTTATTTACATTAAGAATACTGACAATAACAGGAAACAATATCAATGGGGGTTCAGGATAGACTAGTTAATTGGATTCAATAAGGTGGTTGAGTAAAAGAAAGTAAAAAGTTATTAATAGAATCCTGTAAAAATGAGTCTTTGTTACTACTGGTGCTAAAAGGGTCAGTTCTTGGGCTTTTTCTTATTTACATTAAGAATACTGACAGAGATATAACTAGCAAATTATTTAATCATTAAAGTTTGCTGATTTCATTGAACTTTTAAGCATTTCTAGCTGTATTAAGTATGTTGAAATATTACAGAATGACTTGGATCAATTGGCAAGATTGACAAGCAGTTGCTAAATTGACCATTAATTACAGTAAATAGAAGGTATTGCATCTGTATTATCATAACTTAGATCACACATTTAATGGAAAGGGGAACTCACTCAATAGTGTGATATAAGAAAACAATCTTATCATATTGGTAAATAAGCCACTAAAGTACTTAATGCTGTGCTCTTTTGATAGTTGTAAATCTAACAGAATTTTAAGTATATTTATAAAACTATGAGTACAAGTCAAAAGGAGCAATTATCTCTTTATATAAATCATTAATATAGCCTCACTTGAAATATGGTGTGCAGTTTGGTTTCATTACCTTAGATTGTAAAGATATTGTTGTAAAAAGGTTCACAGGATCCCCTGACCTTTTTTGTGCTGTATTCCAAGATAACATAATTAGAATACAAAAATTTAAGATTTGAAAAAAACAGTTTTATTTCTTTTAGAAAGTACTTAGTTAGCTAGGATATTAAAAAGTGCAGACTTCAGATAATGTGAGGTGAAATAGGTATTCATGATATTAACATTATTTGAAAGAACTATAAAGAGACTACCAGTAGATAAAAACTTATTATTGTTAGCATATAAGTAACTTTCATATTCATTGTACAAAGTTAAAACTCAGTTTATCATATAATAATATTTTAAAAATAGCCTTATAGGTTACAGAGCCATTGTCATCTACCTAACCTCCTTTTTTAACAGAATGAGTTGCTGTCTGCAATAGTTAAAGCCAGAATGTTATTAGAAGACTTTAAGAGTATTTGATTTCCTATATATAGTGAAAATTGAAAAAAAGATTCTTATGTCTCACAAATCTCAGGAGTGTGTGCAATGCCAGACACACGTAGTGGCACACTTTTTAAACTTTGAGTTTTTGTTCATATCTTATTTTAATTCTACTGTATATCTAAGTAAAATTCTACACTTGTATTAGTTATGGTGAAGGAGAAGCCCCCCCCCCTCCAACTCTCCATGTTATTTTTTTATTATGTTTAGGTAGCTTAGATAGACACTATATAATACAGTTTATAAGAGTGGAAATTTAAAACAAAAATGGGCGAGAAAGTACAACCACCATATAGCTAAAAGACTCACATAATGCATGCTTTACTATTAGTATTAGGAATGTGTATAAATACTATAATCCAAATGAATAAAATATTTCATACTTAGTTTTACACTTATAGTTCCGTTTATTTTTTATAGTTACTTACTCTGTATTTATGTATAAGTAAAAAACTTTTGAAAAAGTAACATGTTGTTAGGTTTCGTTGCGACTTTTAGTTTTATACTATTTGATTTCGTATTTGCAAAAAAAAAAAACATGGAGTTGGGGCCTGGTTTTACAATTACACTAGTTACAGTCATTGATCATACAATGACCAATAAAAAGTTAAATGACAAAAGTAATAGTTTTTCTTTCGTTTAATGCATAGACTTTATAAGTACTACTGCCTAATAATATAAAAAAAGAAAATACTGAAGTGAATACAGAATAGGTAAATTAGGCCTAAGTTAGTTTCATAAACTTCATTCAAGTTTTAGGATTTCATAAATTCATTTTTTAAAAGTGATGTGTTTAGGTTAGAAAGAACTGGCACCACCACGTGAATTATTACAAGAAGCATTGTAAAAATGAAGACATACCTAAACAAACAAATAAAACAGACTTTTTCTTATCCATGTTCGATAACGTTCTTAGCCAAGCCTAACGTCCTACAATCATATAAATTAAATGGAATGTCAAAATCTCGCTAGCAGCTCATTACCAATAGCGCCACCTACAATCAGCAACTTTTTAAATTCCTTGTGCGTGTAGGTATTGTTGTGGCTGGTGAAGTGTGACAATCTCATGTCTTGAGCATGCCAGAAGCCGTGGTCTACTAGTTATATATCGCTCCGCTGTGTCACTCATGTTGAGTACTGCTTTCGCTTGGATTGTTTGTGTTATCTGGAGTCCCGCGTCAGTAGCAAAAATCTTTCAGATTACAACAGGTGTCTAACAGTAGAATTGTGATTTTATATAACATTTTACGTGTTCAGTTAAATTTTAGGAAGATTTTAAAAAGACGGCTGATACACAGTGAAATACATTCTTCTAGATATTAATAAAAATCATACTTTGCTTAAATCGAACAGCAAAAGTTGTTTATTTTTGAGAAGTTCAAGGGGAATTTTCGATGATACCCAGAATGCAGCGATCTTCTGCTCCTCACGCACATTCAAATGCGAAAGCTCCGCCAATGCCCCCTGCACGACGACCTAACACCACGGGCTCAGTTTCAGATGCACGTGCAAAAACGATGCTTAAAGAAGCTGTTGATGCAGTGGTCAATAGCTTTGCAAAGCATACCCAAGGATATGGACGAGGTAAGTGCAATTTCATATTTTTTCAATAACAAAACCTAAACATTATTTGATTAATAAAGAAAGGATATAGCAGATAAGGTATGGTTGACATATCATTACATTCTTCTTCACTTTTACTCATAAGTTCTTGAAACCTTAACGTAGCTTTCTTATCAATAAACAATAATTGTTTTGAAATTAGACTGCACACATGTACGTTTCATCAAACTATTTATAATTCTTTCAAGAACTAAAGTAAAACACACATTTGTTAAATTAGCGACTACGAAATATATAGTTATAAAAACTAAAAATACAAGTTTTCTTAATACTAAAATGTGAAACTGCGTGATTGTAGTGAAAAATATGTTTGTCGACATAAAACGAAATCACTTTACTTCTGTGTTAATTCTGAATTGTCATGCGTTGTTATATGTCTATTAGTATTATGCAACTACTGTAAGTACTTTGTTTGCTTACATTTGCCGATAATATGAATGATCCAAAGACTTGTATTTTAAAATCTAAGTAGCACGTGACCAGTTTATTATATGCAATGAAATGTAGAAACCAAAAGTACGGAGAATTTTCCACCTGATAAAAGGCAACAACTCCAGCTTAATGTTATGTAATGGATGAAATAAATCAAAATTTAAAACAGATGTGCATATTCCGTGTGGAATTGTGTTGTTGTTGGTTTTTTAATAGTAACTCTGTTTTAATTCGGGATGTAAATTTGACAAAAGTATACAGTAGTGATGGATGGTTGCTATGTTTTTCACCAAAATACATCTATGACCCTTGTCTAACTACCTATTTGACACATCTATGACCCTTGACTAACTACCTATTTGACACATCTATGACCCTTGTCTAACTACCTATTTGACATTGGTTTCTGTTATTTCTTAGTGCGACGCCGCTTGACTCGCAATCTGAGGGTCGTGGGTTCAAATCCCCATCCCACCAAACGTGCTCATCCCTTCAGCCATGGGGGCATTATAAAGTGATGGTCAATCCCACTATTAATTGGTAAAAGAGTAGCCCAAGAGTTGGTGGTGGGTGGTGATCACTAGCTGCCTCTAGTCTTTCACTGCTAAATGAAGAACGACTAGCACAGATAGCCCTAGTGTAGCTTTGCGTGAAATTCAAACAAATCAAACCTAGTACGACTGATAATTAATTCAATCAATAATTAACAATATAATATGTTATTATATGCAATTTCAAGAGGGTAGTATCCCCTTTATTCTCTGTGTAACTTGTGTCTGTCGTTTTTACCATAATTTCCTATTTTTATGAAGAAGTGCAATTTAAGAACTGGCAGGATTCGAACGCGCAACTCTGCTAACCGGGCGGATGAAGCACCTTCTCGAGTGCCGTTGTTCTCACTTTTACGGAATTGACCCTCTGTTAGGTCAGCGTCATGTCTGAAGGCTCATAACGCTAAAATTATGATTTCGATACCCTTGATGAACAGCACAAAGATAGCCCATTACGTAGTTTTGCGCTTAACAACAAACAAACAAAGGACTGAATTTTGGAAATTTTCATCACAACTTAAGAAATAAGAAACACGAATTGAACAAACTTAGCTTGTCGCTAACATATGTTATTTTTTGACGTCTCATCCTCGAAAATTTGACATAAAGATTATAAAACACGTAATTAAAGATTAAAAGACATTATAATTTGAGAGTGTCAAGCTCGTAATTATGCGTGTCTAAGGTCCTCATGCGTTTACGAAGATCCAGTTTATTTCTCTTACAATTATAAGAACTTTAAATTCATTTTTAAAATGTATACTGAAATATAGTTTGTTTGTTTGTTATGGATTTCGCGCAAAGCTACACGAGGGCTATCTGCGCTAGC